GTGGACTGAAAACGCGCCCTGTCAGTAGAAAGAGAGGGCAAATAAAATAATCTTCTACACATAGATATACTTCTAAAGTTTTCATAGTTAGTAATATCTCTATGGTTATCCAGAATTGCTTCCTTCTTGCCGTGCGGGTGGCACTGTTTAACATCACTGCACAGAGCACGCAGCCTAACAATGCCATTTTTCTTGCACTCACGTAAATCTGACGTAAATTATTACAAGATAGCTAGCTATAAATGAATTATAAACACAGTCTTGTCTTTAAGCCTGCATAGATGAAACTTATTTAATAATATTTTTAAAGATAATGTAAGAAAATTTTTATCTACGTATAAAATTCAAAAGATAATATTAAAATGAATTGTGTTTAACGTAGGTTAAGGGTGAGTTTAGATGGAGTCTGTGAGTGGGAGTCTGCAAAGTTTCAAACCAGTCTGGTAGACTCCCAGACTCCATCTAAACTCACTCAAAATCGTTTTAATTATTTTTTCTTTTTTTTGAACTGTTATTTAGTCAATTACACAAAGTACCTTTTTTTTTAGCATATAAAATTGAATTGTTCAATAGTATAAAATCATCAGCATGCCTCGAATTCTAGTGTTAATTAATAAACAAGCGCTAATAACCAAATCACCGAGTAACGCTCTTGTTATCTTATTTTCAACTAATTGTAAGTCTATTAATAAACTTATAATATTTCATTATGATTTATGTATATGTTATATTTACATATCAAAGAACTGTAATCTTATTAAACAAGGAAACTAGTATGTCAAAACTTCTAAGGTAGTAGTTCAGTAAAACGACTAGACGAAAAATTTTTCTAAAATTTTGCGTGTTGCTTAAGTTTGCTATAGTTCATCCATGTCCAAATTTGGAAATGCCTAGCCATGTAGTTTCGGAGATATTAAAGTTTTAGTGTTGGTCTTTTAACACGTGAGAAATAGAAATGCGCCTGGTTTCGGGTAGGATTCGAAACGAATTCATTCATAACTCCTAAGAGAAACGATCAATCCTTTCAAAAAAACGATATGTTATAATTGATATTATAAATAAACTAAATACCAAGTCTCAAGAAGCCTAGCCGTACAATTTTTGTATTTTAGCTTTCCAAAGTTAAAAACTATCGTGTAGTTGGGTGAGAGGGACAATGACAGCTGTACAGTAAAGACTGCATAACCTATGCATACTCTATAGTGCAGTATGCCACACAATATACCTTACTGAACTACTACTTTAAAGCACTTCTCCACTTCTAATAGATTCTGTCATTGTTGTCATGGTTACCAAAAATTCTGATTTTTATTTTCATTAAAAAAAGAAAAGTTCAGTACAATTATGAGAGGTTGATTCAGAGGAAATCGTTTTCTTTTATTTATTATTTATTTTTATGAATCCCGATGTATACACCATGAAATTCTTAATTATTTGCCCTATCACCGATTAACACTATATCGTGTTTACAGCGAATATATTAAGCAGACAGTGATTGTTCTCGCACAAAATTGAAAGGGTCAGCTGTTCTGTAATCAGTAAGGTATCGACTGCTGTGGTCCCAAACGAACGAGCAGCTCTCCTAATTTGAGAGAGCACTGTGCTTAGAGCATATATACCTGGAGGGAGCATACAATGCTTCGGCCGCGAGACTAGCAAAGAGAGAGGGCCCGTAAAGCAGGATATGCTTTCTCTCTCTTACGCTCCGATGATTGGCTAGCCCCCTTCCGTGTATATAGTTATTGTCGTCTCTAAGAGTGGAGCTGGTAGGAGAAGAGAGCATATATATATAGCTATACCTCGATACCCCTCTACCTCTTCAGCCAATATATGTACAACTCAAGCTCTGGTGACATATAATTTATATATTACATCTATTGTAGTCCTAGAAGTCAATGATGATAGCTGAGTGGGCTGCGTGCGCCGAATGGTGTTTTTTTTTGCAGCTGTAGACCTGTATCGAGCCCTGACTGGGAAATTTTTTTTTTTTTTTTTTTATGTTAGTGTACATTTTCATTGAATGATTGATTGGAAAAATATCGTCAAGGACATTCTTCTCTAAAATTTTAACGATTTCTGTGAATATAATTTTTTTCCTTTGTAATACATTCTAAATACTTTTTCAACAATTTTGCAAACTGTTATAACAATCAGTGATGGCAAAATCAGACGAGCTCTATCTTTTAAATCTGTCAAAGCTGAATGACTAGGTTCTATAGTGAGTGTCAAAGGACATTGGTAACATTTTGTTTTACTTCAATATTGATCGAATAATGAACCCAGCAGAGTGACCCACAACATTGTCTATGTATTTTTTTCTTGTTCCTTTACCATAGAATAGTGAAATTGTAACATCATTGTTCAACGTCGTTAATATTTTTTATCAGCATTTTAATAAAAATGATAGATTTTTACTAAAGTAGAAACTGTCGCAAGACCATCTGGAAAACATTTTTAGTTCAGTTAGAGCTAAAGGAGGTTTTATGGTAACGGAATAAGAAAAAAATACATAGACAATGTCGTGGGTCACTCTGCTGGATTCATTATTCGATCAATATTGAAATAAAACAAAATGTTACCAATGTCCTTTGACACTCACTTTAGAACCTAGTCATTCAGCTTTGACAGAAATAAAAGATAGAGGTCGTATGATTTTGCCATCACTGAATGTTATAACCGTTTGCAAAATTGTTGAAAAAGTATTTAGAATGTATTACAAAGAAAAAAAATTATATTCACAGATATCGTTAAAATTGTAGAGAAGAATGTCCCTGATGATATTTTTCCAATCAATCATTCAATGAAAATGTTTACTAACATAAAAAAAAAAAAAAAAATTTCCCAGTCGGGACTCGATCCAGGTCTACAGCTGCAAAAAAAACACCATTCGGCGCACGCAGCCTACTCAGCTATCATCATTAACTTCTAGGACTACAATAGATGTAATACATAAATTATATGTCACCAGAGCTTGAGTTACACATATATTGGCTGAAGAGGTAGAGGGGTATCGAGGTATAGCTATATATATATGCTCTCTTCTCCTACCAGCTCCACTCTTAGAGACGACAATAACTATATACACGGGTGGTCGCGGTGGCGCAACGGTAGAGTTGCAGTTCCGTCGATCTCCGAGGTTAAGCTGCATTCGGCGCGGTTAGAACTTGGATGGGTGACCGCTTGGTCACCATTCGAGTCTCGCCGTTTCGCCTGTGCTCTTGATTCTCGAAGGTCGATTAACTGTTTCTCTGACGCTTCGTCTACGTGATTATAGGTGTGACTGTGTTGGTCCAGATGTTTATGTATGTATATGTATATAAACATCTGGTCATAACTCAGGTGCACCGGTGGCTAATTAACACTATGCTTGTGTAAAAAAATGCCATGTCTGAGCCTACGGGCGATGATGAATGAAAAAAAAAAAAAAAAAACTCTATACACGGAAGGGGGCTAGCCAATCATCGGAGTGTAAGAGAGGGAAAGCATATCCTGCTTTACGGGCCCTCTCTCTTTGCTATATAGTCTCGCAGCCGAAGCATTGTATGCGCCCTCCAGGTATATAATTATGCTCTAAGGCACTGTAGAACCCAAGGAAGATATCGAAGTCGTTCCGATCTGGATTGCAGCGTCACCAACGTTCTCTCAGTGCTGGAAAAACGAAAATGATTTCACCCGCTCGGCTACGGCGTACTACGTAAATAGGTACGTAGATAAATAAAGAATTATTTGTAGGGCTGGCTCTGCTTTGTCTTCCCTACCCTGACTGGGCGTCCGTAGATCGGAATTACTGTGAATTATTTTTTGTTGTTTGTTTGTTTAAAAGGTTGATGAGGAGAAGTCATGTAGAGTAAAATGTCAGCGAGATTGGGAATTGGCTAAACCCAACAGCATAGCAGGGATAGCCATTAACTTGAACAAAAAAAGACAAACAAGGGATTTTCATAATTTCAAATAATATGTCGACTTGTCCTAAGAAGAAACAAAAATAATTAAAAGAAAACGGAACTATTTTTTGGCAAACAAAAATAGTAATCGAGTGTGCTGAGTAAAACATAACTAATATTTTTGGTCAGATTAGTGTACTTTGCAACCAGATCAATCACTTAGAAGATTACAATTATACTATTAATAAGTAAAATTATGTTGTTAGACATGAAGCTGGGGCAACTTTGTACTTAGCAAAGAAAAAATTGCCTTACAAATCACGTTCTGATACGTTACATACTTATTCTGTATAATGTAATTTAACTGCTTTAGAAAATTAATGTTGATTTACTTTTAAATTAATCGAGGTTCCAGATAATCGTTACTATGCTAAAAAATACTGAAAAAGGACAAAATATAACAAGTGATAGTATTCGTGATAAATGAAATTTCCAATTTTACAATCGTCACTAAAATGCTTAAAATTTTGCCTATCGATGTAGATAGTGAATACAATGAAGTTTTTTAGATAAATACTACAGCTCGACCATCTTTACTAGTTAAAAGTCGGTTTTTAAAAAATATCTAGATGGAACATTGACATATGCAAGCAAAAAGATATATGAAATAATTAAGGCTTGTGCTTTATACTGTATATTCTATGCAAAATATGCAAAATTTCGATACTTCTTCATTACAGATGTGAATATAAAATAGATAACTTGACTAATCAATGAAAACTTTCAAAAAGGTATTGAAGAAAATTGGCATTCATGGACATTTTAAGCAAAATACATATCAACGGTTTATTATTGAACTGATTTACGTTTAATTGAAATTTATAATTAACAAGCCATCAACATTTCTATTTTAACTCTCTTCTAGTAACCATTTTAAGTTCATCAACAAAATAAGGTTGCGAGTGTCCATAAATGGACAAAAAAAAATATTAAACGAAGTATATAATTAGACTAATAATTAACTGGTAAAACAAGGTTAAAAATCTTAAACAGCGTGATGATTACTTGCTAAAAGTATATTTACATAAAATTGTAAATTATATGTAGTACACTAACCTGAATTTTTGCGATTGATTTCATTAATGGCCTTTAATGAATAAAGTTCATCTAATTTGTTTCCATAATATGTATTCAACTTTTTACACGTACTAACTGATATTTGAGTGATTTCACTTGATGACAAGCATTCTTGCAACATTTTGAAACAACATTGTTCATTAGATTCCATATTACAATACTTGATGTCAACGAAGCCGAGTCACATTAAAAGGATTCAGAATTGGCAATAGACCATTGTTTTTAGAGAGGTTATAATTTTACTGCCATCACTAATCCGATCCGAACAGATTTCTTCATATATTCACAATCTCACATCTCATTATAAGTACGTAAAATTTGGATTCAACAAGAGGTTCGTTCAAAGGCCTTAGGTTTGTTCAAGCTAATTTTTGGGAAAACTTTTGGAGAGCATGGATCGATGCTTTTGGAGCGTTCCAAAAATTACAAATCGCAGGCACGCGTCCAAAGTGCAGATTTTTTATCGGCTGAGTAGATTTTAGGTGACTTGTGTGATGAGTCTGAAATTATTAATGTAAAGGATCCTTTATAAACAAAAAACCTTAATTGAATTTAAAAATTTAAATAACCTATGTATGTACAACACCTAATACATATACAATATATCCAACATACATAGACATATAAGAAATGCAGACTGCTCGTTTTTATGTACGGCGCTGAAGAACGAGTAGAAAGAGATACAATATCGAACGTGGGTATCAATCTCTCTGGCACATTGCCAACAATAAGAAGGTTGCATCAGCCTGACTTAGTTTAAAAACAGTTAGTAACGTTTGTACCAACTTTATAAAAAACTATCGGATCAATCACTTCCGCATGAAAAAAATTAATTTGATGCTGTCGTGCGAGAGATATGAAAAGTATATCCTCTACTCTTTGTAGTATGTCTATACTATTAAAATTTGTATCAACCGTTTGCAACTGAAGTTTTGTTTATCAAAAAAAAATAGTACCAAAGGCGACGCGCGAGATTCAAATGAGGTCCAATAACACGAGCATCCATCACATGATGACCCAGTGTGCTTACTGGCCACTCTGTTCAATAAAAAATTATTAATAAATAACACAAGCGCCTATTCCCCAAAGACTCGGAGCGCTTACGGGCTACTTTTTTGAATAAATAATTTTTAATAACACAAGTGCCCATCACCCAATAAAACGGGGTGCTCACTGGCAACTCTGTTCATTAAATAATTATCAATAAAAAACACAAGAGCCTATTACCCAATGACACAGGGCACTTACTGGCCACTGTGTTCAATAAATAAATTTTGATAAAACAAGCGCCTATCACCCAATGACCCGGGTTGCTCACTGGCTACTGTGGTAAATAAATAATTATAAAAATAACACAAGCGCCTATCACCCATTAACTCGGGCCGCTTACTGGAAAGTCTGTTCAATAAATAATTTTAAATAACGACGGTGCCTATAACCTAATGACCTAGGGTGCTTACTTGCCACTATGTGCAATTAATTATTTTCAATAACACAAGCACCTATCACCCAATAATACGAGGAGTTTACTAGCAACTTAGATAGATAGATATTTATTAATAACACAAGCGCCTATCACCCAATAACACGAGGTGCTTACTGGCCACTCTGTTCAAAAAATAATTTCTAGTAACACAAGCGCCTATCACCCAATCAAACGAGGTACTTACTGGCAACCCGATCAAATAAATAGTTTTGAATAACACAAGCGCCTATAACTCAATGACCTTGAGTGCTTACTGGCCACTCAGTGAAATAAATATTTATTAAAATTAAACAAGCACCTATTACCTCATGACTC